TTCTTAAAAGGAACATATTGGTTTTCTTCTAGATAGTTTCACAAGATAAACAATCTATACGTAATCTTTAGAAGACTTTGGAATTCAACAATTTAATTATGATGTATTTTTTTTTCAACTTTACCATTATATACTTTCATCTTTTTCTTCTTATTGATTGCTTCTCCTATTTTGGAAAGAACTTTTAACAAATAAGTTAAAGTAATAAAAAGTAACAATTTTTTTTCCTACAGTTAGACTAACAACTTTTTAAAACTGTTTCACAAATTGGATTCCCCATAGAGGTAATTCATTTAAAAATATGTATGTTTTAGGAAAGATGAAATCATACAATTTGTTGTTGCATGAATGGATCTGGAGAATGTCATGCTAAGTGAAGTTAGGATGAGTATAGACACAGAATGATATTCCTCATATGTGGAATGTAAAGAATTATAGAAAGAAAACAGCAAATGCCCAAAGGCAGCAGAAACTGAGACCTGGTCTTTATTTAGTTGGATGCATATCATTGTAGGGGTGGTGTGGGGGACTTAGGATGGTGGGGAACTCTGGGACATAGTAGAAGAAAGCTTATACCCTAGTAGAGGGTGTGGTTATGGAATGTTTTATGCATGCAACTCTGCCATCATCAATGTTGTAAGTCATGATGCCTAAAATAAAATTTTAAAAACAATTTAGAACACAATGCAAAAGTAAAAAGGATAAAGAGGAAAGTAAAAAATATGTGTAGGAAGCCAGAGAGATAGTACAGAATTTAAGGCATTCCAGGCAGCTGAATCTGACTTGAAACACAGCTGGGTGTGGCCCCAACACCACTCTTCTTCCCTAAATCATAGTGTATGTATGGGCAGCATAAAGAAGGGGGAGTGCAAGTTTGATATATTTTCCTGAAAGTATTTTATGTTGAAATGCTGGTTCTTCTCAATTTATTCTCAGCTTTACTTTGTATATCAAATACTGCACCTGTCACAAGCTTGGATTTATCATGAGTGTACATGATGTTTGTTGTTGGGAGTGATTGCAAATCCTTCACTGGAGGTGGATCATCAGAAGTAGATGCACCTGTCTTCGCAGCTGGGGTTTGCTCAGGGAAATTAGGGTAATTTAACACCACGTTATCCTTGGGGACAGCTGGATAGATAGCTCTGTAGAAGACCTAAATTCTGTTTTGAAAAAGATACCCATTCTATAAATGCTATTTGACATGGAATCTTATAATTTGATTAAAGTTTGAGAATATGTAGGCTAGTTTAAATAGAAAAATATGATTTACTTTGGTTTGATGTGGTTATTCTGATAACTTGTTATGACTCAGTGAATACCAATATTTTTCGGACCGATTAGTTTGGGGCTTAGCATAAAATAATCCATTCAGTTTTTATGCAAGCCACTGGTTACAAAATGTACCTTGTTGGGTTTCAAATGATACTACAGCTGACCCGTATTCAATCCCTGGCATTCCACATGGACCCCTGAGTTCACCAGGAGTGATCCCTGAGCTTGAGCCAGGAATAAATCTTGAGAACTACTAGGTTTGGCCCCAAAAGACAAACAAAAAAAATATTTTGATACTAAAAAGATAGATTTTTTTCCCATTTTAATTCTTTACGTTTTCCAGACATACACTTAAGCTGGATATCTGTTTTATTATAAATTTCCATAGCATATTATAACTATGTTACTCTTGCTACTATTTTTTGCTTAATAAGTCTCTGTTAAGTAAATGCATGAATGACAGAATAAAGAATTGTTTATAGATAATTTCCTTCCTAAAATTACTCTGATTAGTTCTTTGAAGGTTATGAGGCACTAGAGATTTGGCGGGGAAGTGGTATTATTTACTAAAGGGGCTATGAAGCCAAATCCCAGAAATTTCATATTATCGTCAACTAATACTAATCAAATAGTTAAAAATTAAAGAAGTCCGTAACATAAAAGAAATGCACTGATAAAAATCACCCCAAAACTGAATGCTCTCAAAGTACCATTACTTAATTTTTATTAAGGTAAATTTTATTTAAAATAAAACAGGCTTTTAAGGTCATAGACCCATATATATATTAAAACTATGTAATCTTGTCATCATTATACCAGATAATATATAAAATTTTTCATTATTTCATTAAATTTATTCGTGGAACCTTCCAGTTAATACCTAACAATAAGTTTTTAACTTAGATTTCCCTTATATCCCCTTTTTCAGAGCTAAGTACCATGACATAGATGTATTTTGTGTGTAGACTATTTTACTTAACTATTACTTATTTTACTTAACTTAAATAAAATATATTTTATATTAAATTGGATTAATGGAAGACAAGAAATTGTAGGTTGAAAGTTTTCAAAGGGGAAATATAATTTTATTTTTAAAAATGTCTGTTCTTGGAAGACTGTTTTTTTTTCCTTCGAAACTTCTTACTGTTTGTACATAATAATTAAAGAAGTATGTAGAACAAGATTCTTGGAAAAACAATGAGTTTTTAACTTAGATTGCCCCTTATACTCCCTTTTCAGAGCTAAGTACGATGACATAGATGTATTTTGTGTGTAGACTATTTTACTTAACTCTAAATTTTATATTAAATTGGATTAATAGAAGTCAAGAAATTGTAGGTTGAAAGTTTTCAAAGGGGAAATATAATTTTATTTTTAAAAATGCCTGTTCTTGAAAGACTGGTTTTTTTTTTCATCGAAACTTCTTACTGTTTGTACATAATAATTAAAGAGGTATGTAGAACAAGATTCTTGGAAATAGGAGTATAATCAAATTCTTATACTGTGAGCCACACTAGGAAATTTGAAAAACCAACTCAACCAAAATGAATGTCAGATAGTTCTTCAACCATTGGCTTCCTTTCTCCTCAAAACCAGGTCATAATGCGAATATTCCATGTGAAATCTAGGACATTAATAAGGAGCTCCCCAAAGTGGGTAGAAGAGCTGAATAGATAATTCTCCAAAGATGATAGACACAGTAAAAGGTGCTCAGAACACCTGCGTATGAGGGAAATGGAAATGAAAATTGATGAGATTTCATCTCATACCCATGACAGTGGCCCATATAAAAAGATAGAAAACAATCAGTACTGGAAGCGATGTGGAATGAAAGGAACACTCATTCATTACTTCTGAGAAAATAACACCTTCCTAGAAAACTATATATGGTGATTTTCAAAAAAAATGAAATAAAAAAGGGCTGGAGCGATAGCACAGCGGGTAGGGCGTTCGCCTTACAAGCGGCCAACATGGCCGACCCGAGTTCGATTCCTCCGCCCCTCTTGGAGAGCCTGGCAAGCTACCGAGAGTATTCGATATGCCAGACACAGTAACAACAAAGTCTCCAATGGAGACGTTACTGGGCCCGCTCGAGCAAATCGACGATCAACGGGAGGGCCTTTACTTTTTACTTTTACTTTACCATATAATCTAGTAATTCCATAATGAGCTATCCATCCCAAGTATATGAAAATAACACATCAAAAGTATGTCTACATAACTATGTTCATTACCCTATCTGCATGACCCAAATATGGAAACTACCCAAATACATAATGAAAAATGAATGGATAAAGAAATGGTGGCGTATATACACAATTGATAATACTGGAAATTGAGATTGTTTTGTTATGAGAAATAAGTCAGGAGAAGAAAGACAAATAGTAAATGATCTCACTAATGCATGGTTTGTATTATATACAGACAATATTCAGTGAAATCATATTGTAGATTCTGACCACAAAACTGGGTTCAGGAAGTGGGTAGCACAGTAGCGCTGTCCTCCCGTTGTTCATCAATTTGCTCGAGCAGGCATCATTAACATCTCACAACAAATTGTGAGACTTGTTATTACTGTTTTTGGCATATAAAATACATCACGGGTAGCTTGCCAGGCTTTGCCTTGTGGGCGAGATACTCTTGGTAGCTTGCTGGGCTCTCCGAGAGGGGCAGAGGAATTGAACCCTGGTCGACTGCGTGCAAGGCAAATGCCATATCCGCTGTGCTATTGCTCCAGCCCAGGAAGTGGTGTAAATGGTTTGAAAGGGCTCAAAGGATTTCGGTAGAGAGATTCTGAGTCTTTGGTGATGAGTGCATTTTCCTTGTAATACTGAAACTTTTACACACTTGTATGTCAATGTTACCTCAACTGAAACTTTAAAAAAAAGTGGCTGCCAATTTTTATTTTTAATTAAAACTTCTTTAAACTCTAAAAAAAACACATTACTTTTCCAGTAGTATATAAATAAAATTTATAAGTAAGGTTTCTGAAGAAATGTAGTCTGTTTGCATGCAGTTGGAAGAGGCTTGCCAAGTAAAGCCTGTAGAAAATGGATTCATTGAATTAGAGCTAGTCCATGTCTCCAGAGCCAGCTTATTTTCTTTGCAGGTAGCCAAGAAGAATGCCTGAAAGTTTGTGTTGACAGGAGACTATCTTACAGAACATGCTGGCTGAGCACACATTTCCACTGGCTCGGGTCCGTATTGTTACAGACTTCAGACTTAATGGAGTACTTAGAACACCTCTAGGGATTTTTAGGTCAGAAAAAATTAGACATAGGAAGGTTAGAGAGCAACATTTTTGGGTTGACTCTATGGCAGAGTAAAGCTGCACAGTCTTAGGGAAGCCAGACTGTGTAAGCCAGTGATTTTCAGTTTTTCTTGTAGAAATATTTGCTGTTCCAAAAATGACCAAAGAATTAATTTGTAATCTAGGAAAAAGAAGTCATGAAAAAAATAGTTAAAATGGCATCATAAGAGATAGGGGCACCATTGATATATATATGGGGAAGGAGGGATTGTAAATAATATAAAGAAAGTGCATTCGTCCTTCAGATAGAAAGTTCTAACTTTAGACATTGATGATTTTGTTGGGCAGTTTGAGAGCAAGATATGTGGAAATCTCATGAAATAATCCCAAAAGACAATCTGCAAAATTTGGAATAGAGTATTTCTGTTATCTGAAGCACAACATGAAGGTTATTTACATTTATTTTCCCCTTTAGGCTCATTAGAGACACTGCAAGAACTCTTCGGTCCAGGAGTAGTGGGTTCCTTTGAAGACACAGATGCCTTACCTCCAGAGGAGTGCTGAAGTTTTCATTATAAGGTAACAGTTGCTTCCTATTTTTAGTTTTGTAACCTTAAAAATTTAGTGATATAATGATATGAAAAGAGGTAATTGTTACAGAAAGCAGTAAGGATGCTTTGAATTTGTTTAAACCTTTGTAGTAGTTCATATTACCCATATGTAAAGACGTTCAGATTTAATTTCTTGGCCAATATTGGCTTTACCTTTGAGAATTGATGGTGCACAGAAAAAAAATGGGCGTTGAAAATTATCACACAAATAAAGCCCCTATTTTGGATGAAACCCTACTAGCAGAAATGTTCTCTCAAGGTACTTTCATCCTATATATGTTTTTGTTACATATATGTAAATGTGACAATTATCCCTGTGATACTCTTCCTATGCTTCTCACAGTCTCAGACTCTTGCCTCTGCCTCTATTCCAGATTAGATCCAGGGATAAAGGGACAGCGTATCTGTAAAACATAGTTTTGTGGAGCTCTCAGGTGAGTGATAGATCTTTTTGAAAGTTCTAATTTGTCCCTGCTTTTTTGTTTTTCTGTGGTTGGTGTTCATATTTTTAGCAAAGCAAGTGGATAATACAGGTGGGCACAGACAAGGCTGGGCTGGCAGTAGGCAGAAATCTTATTTATCATTAATTTGCTGACTACTGAATGTAACCTGCCCACACAGCAGAGTCTGGCAAACTCCCCGTGGCGTACCCAATATGCCAAATACCAGTAACAAGGATGGGTCTCATTCTCCTAACTCTGAAAGAGCCTGGAATATGGCACTTTTAAAAAAATCTCAGGGCTAGGACGAAGGAGACGTTACTGGGGCCTGCTCGAGGCAATCGACGAATAACAGGATGGTTGTGATCTTGTGATCTTGTGGTGTTCATATTTAGAGTTTTTCTTATAGACAGGTTTTCAGCTGATTGGTATATACTGAGGATTGTCACCAAATCTTATAATAAGATTGTTTCGATTTGTATGAAATGGCCAAACTGTACTGCAAAATGACCTCACCATTTTTCCTTCCCTTCATCAATCATGAGAGTTCTTATTACTCAACATCCTGGTCAGCATTTGGTATGGTCAATGCTTTGCATTTCTGATATGTGTGTAGTGTTTTCTCATTGTCTTAAATTTTTTTAAAATAGGATTAATTAACAAAGGGATTCTGATTGTCCAAAGACATTGGACACTTATTTACTAAAAATTTTTAAATTACTTTTTGGTATGACATTGATTTACAATCTGGGCCTTCTCTTGGCAACGTTCCTTGTGATAATGCAGTTTTATGAGATAAGTCCATGCACTCCTAAGTGCATTTTTGTGTTTGTTTATACTATCTATTATGGAAGGGTCATAGTAGCCAAATACTTTTCTAATAATATACCATGAAAATAAAGTAATCCAAACTATCTATAATAATTCTATTTCTACAAATAAAATATGCTTTTAAAACATCCCATGTATAAACAGCTATAAATAGCCCATATACGCTATTTAAGGACAGTTTTCTGGCAGTATTATTTTACATATATCACATCCAATTAGATATCTTAATTGTTATGTTTAGTTAAATCCACATAAATGTAGCCATAGTATGAAATTCTTCAAGTCATAGTAATATTTTTGTATGCTTGGTGTATATTCTACTTTAAATTTGCTTGCACTACTCTGTAAATATTTCTGATGTGATATATTTAAAAACTGGAGAATTGTTGCGGCTGGAGTGATAGCACAGTGGGTAGGGCGTTTGCTTTGCACGTGGCCGACCCGGGTTCGATTCCCAGCATCCCATATGGTCCCCTGAGCACTGTCAGGAATAACCCCTGTGCATTGCCGCGTGTTACCCAATATGAAAAAAAAAATCTGGAGAATTGTTCTTTCCAGTGGAAGGACTAATCTTTTTATATTTCTATCTTTAAACATAACACAATGCCAGTGTTAAAGAAAACATTTTCATGACACTTTTTAAAGACAGATGAAAGATTTTATTCAAAAGGGACTATTGCAATGGGGTTTTGCATTTGGGGAAAGAAATTGAACTCAACTCCAAAAACAAGGACAAGTAGAAATTTATAGCCAAGGAAAGGAGTAGGGATATGTGGGTAAAAAATTTCTAAGTCTGAGGGAATTCTGTGTAGATTTACTTAAGAGTATAGTAGCTGAAGACAAACCTTAAAGATGGGACATGGAAGCTGGAAAGGAGGAATGTGATTAGTTACCAAAAGAAAAGGATTTTAACTAACCTGACTCAGCAGGTTTTCTGGTAGAACTTGGTCCAGGGAGAGAAGTCAAGGTCCAAGTCTCAGTAAAAAGAGAATTCAGAGGCTCCTTACCTAGATTGGATCATGAAGAATGTGTCATCTGGTATGTAATAGTATTTCAGTGAGCTATATTGTGTGATTATATATTTAACCCATACAGCAAAGTCTGTATATAGAAATTTATTAGCAAAGATCTGACATTATACTTTACATTAAAAAAGAAAAAACTAGACATAATTTTGTTTACTTTCCAGCTAACCTATTTACTAGAGTTGTTTTAAACTAGTCACTTCATGATATCTGTACTGATTGGCTCCAGAGAGGTAGTTGAACCAGACATTTGTGGTTAGAGAGGAAACATTTTTTTTTCAAAAATTTATGCAGTGATCAATATATAACCCCCTAAGAAAGACAGTCTATTGTCAGGGTCTAGATGTTTTATATTTTATATAGCATAGCAAGTAGAAGTTCACTGAAGCATGAACTGAGATGGATTTCTGGGGATCATCCTTAGAATGAACTCAGCATTTGATGTCGGTGGGCCCCACGGGTGACTTATGTGAAGTGGGGAGGAGAAAGACGGTCACTTTCTCCCCACCCGCCTCTGCCACCCAGGACCCTGGGTAGCCTAGGACCGGTAAAGTCTGCAGTGAGCACCTGCTCGGCACGGGCCTAAGCCCCGCCAGCCCCACAAGGTGGCCATCAAGCCACACCTGAAGTCCGCTTGATCTCGGCACGGGAGTTAATCCCCGCCACCCGTGCTCGGGGAGCCACGGACTCAAATTGGGGCGAGAATTTGCTCTTTGCAGGAAAGGAGAGACCAGTCCCAAGCCTTACCCGAGGTTTCTGGGGTTCTTGTCTCGCTTGCAGAAAAGAATTTCAGGAGTAGACGAGCAGTGAAGTAACAGGTTTTATTTGGAGGCCTTTGGAGAGGGAGAGAAAGGGATAAGCAGATAAGCGGGGGGGGAGGGGGGGGGGGAGTAACGCGTCCAGAGGGAACGCGGGCTTCTCCGAGGGTGGAGAGAGCGCCAAGTGGGCTCTCGAGCTGGTTCTTATAGATCCTTCTGACTCGGAATGTTCTGGAATCTCCTTGGGGCTGGGTCACTGGATTCAACCGGATTGAAAGGGGGTTCGAGAATCATCTGACTGGGAATGTCCTGGAATCTCCTTGGGGCTGGGTCGCTGGAGTCAACCGGATTGAAAGGGGGTTCTCGGAAAGGAGGAATTTCATGGGGAGGAGGCCCATATCTTCAGGGTCTGGGGATGGTCTTATCAAGTCCTTATTCTCTGTCTCCACAGGGTGGGTTGGTCCTAGAATTCTTCTATGAGACTTTGTTTCATTGCAGAGAGCCTTTCCCTATCTACCTGCCTACATCACATTGATGACAAAAAATAAAGCAATGTTGTAGAAACCAAGTTTGATTGTTATCTTCAATACCTTCATGTTATTGAGAAGAGAAGTATTAAGAAAATGAGGCTATGAAACAGAGATGGTAGTCAAAATGTGGCACTATTTGAGGATTCCAGCCTTCTCATTAATTCATATTGTCAGTCTAATAACCCTCCTAGCCTAGCTTTGAAAAAATAAATAATTTTGGAGAGAAAAGATTCCTCAGCTCATTGCGATGGGCAGGCTTGTGTAGTACATACATAAGTGTTTCTTTAGGTGAGTGGTAGAATGGTGAAAAAAAGGTACAAGAATATTTGTAGAAGGACTAAACACTGTTTATGTTTGTAGAAAGGAATTATGGCAGAGAATCCATCACAGAGTAAATTAAACTTGAATTTTTACAAATAGGTACAACTTGCTTTCCTAGACATGAAAGATAAAAGGATTACACATGGCTAGGTCAGTTAGTGACTCTATTCTGTGGACTTAATTTCTTATTTAATTTAAATACTGTTGTTTAAACTTACATTTTTTTAGCTCACGTTTCCTAAACTGACAGTGAATTAGTTTTATGCCACGTGGGAACTAGTTTAAAAGGTCAACAAATATTTCTTAAATGGAAAAAGTCAATACCTGCCAGCCCAGAGTTGATTGAAAAGATAAGACTGGATATGATTAGTTGTTATATTGAGCATGGCCTTGAGTCTCAGAATAAGGAATTTTGTGTTGCCTTTCAGAGGAGGTTTCTGAGAGAGAAACTAAGAAGATAAATCGGTTTTGAATAACAAAAGCAGCCAACTGTAGAGGAGATGGATTAAAGAAAGGAGGGGCAGGATATGCAATTAGCATGCTAATTAGCTAATTACCATGAGAGGAAACCTGGACTAGCTCTTGGCAAAGAAAAGAAAGAAGATGCCTTGTAATAATAACAGAAAGTTTTTACAACTCACAGTAATACTGATTAATCATCTACTAAGGGCCAGTCATTGTGCCAGTATAAGCCATGGGGACATCAGTGAACAAGAGTTCACTGGTTCTATCTAGGAAAGCAGACATAAGGAACAGTAACTAAAAATATTGCCAACAATATAGCATGTTGAGATATGGAAATATTATAGTAAAGTACAAATTTGAGCTTAGTATGGGAAACAGCTGGGGTACTGGTTTTCAGCTTTATTGTGGAATGTCAGGGAAATCCTTAGGAAGGGGAATTTGAGCTAAGATTTGGTGAAGGCAAGAGTTGGCCAGTACCCTGAGGGAAGAGTCTAAAATTAGAAGGAAAAGGAGGAATAAAGACTTCTAAAGAGGGACTGTGCCTAAGGCATTACAAGAACAACTGCCTTTTGAATTTAAAATCTGTATCAAGCCAAGC